TGGTAGCGCGTTTTTTTTTTTTTTTTTTTTTTTTTTTTTTGCATTTATGTGTACATTTTATTTTTAATGACAAAAGTGGCACTTACACAATTCATGTGATTTAAATTTTTGTAAAAAGCAAAGACTGATATAAAATTATTTAAATTTCCATTACCAGACAAAGTATTTTTGTTTTCTCCTTTAAAAACATTTTTCAGATGGTATGTGCACTTGCTGGAAGAAATAGAAAGAGAGAGAGAGAGACAGGGAAAATGAGAAAGCATCCTCCCCATGGGGGATGGTCTTGTTACAATCTCTTCTCCATTTCTCCTTTTGGAATTTTGGACACACATGTATACATGCCCAGCATGGTTTTCATGCCACTGGGTCTGGAACTTGAATCATACAGTCAGCCATATGTGATTCAGCCACCTTAACCACCATGCCATGGGCTGGCCTTCTGTTTTTGTTTTTGTTTTCTGCTCCAGGAAATATGACCTTTAATCCTATACAGATGTAGCATTTTTGCATGCTTTTTAAAAATCTCTACATAATATCAGTTGGATATATTTAGCTATTCCTTCCTATACCATTAGGTGTATAGTTGGCTTTTAATATTTTATTACTGCCAAAATAACCAGTTAATACTATGGTATTAGCATTTCTTTCTTTAGTATAATTTTCATTACATGAATTCCCTGAAATGAAAGAGTAGTTACTTTTTTAAAAAAATGTATGGACAACATTTGTTTCATTCATTTTATTCTATGGCTCATCCCCCAGGTTCTCTATGAAATTGTGTAGTTTTTACTCTCCTGGGCACTACATGCTAAGAAAAATTTACTGGAAGTTAGCATATGGAACAAAGATCCTGCTCAGTTCCTACTGTCTCTCAATGGGTCTGTGGCAAGGCATAATTTATCCATGTAAAAGCTACGGAACATTTGATTTTGGATGGATTTGTTACCAGTATTAATGTGCTTTTAGGATTTTAGTACCTATAGTCTTTTTTTGTTTTAAGAGATTTTTGCTATAGGGTGCCTTCACTGGCTGGAGAGACAGAGAGAAACAGAGAGATAGAAAGCAAGAAATCATCCCCAGAGGGAATGGCCATGCCACAATCCCCTCTCTTCTTGTTGGGATTCTGAGTATGCACAGACATGCACCTGATGTGAGCTCCAAGTGGCCAATCTGGGACTCTAACCTTGGTTGACCACGTAGGAGTCCAGTGCCTCAACCACTATGCCATCTGCTGGTCCCATATAGTCTTTTTATACAGGGTAGAAGGACACTTTTTACTGAACTGGGTATAAACAAATTGTCTGGGAAGAGGTAATGAAGAACGGAGTGGGTAGCGTAGATGCTGGAGGCTCCTGTCGTATCAGGAAAGTTGTTGAAGGAGTTATTTTCATTGTTCCTTCCAAGATGTCCCCATGACTAGAACAGGGCTGTAATCATTCTGGATTGGAATTGCTGGACTCACTTTTCCACTATTTATGGCTGAAAGAATTTAAATGAAGCTGAGAGTTTCCTTCTTTCCTGGAGCTCAAACAGCTTGGTCTCAGAGCTTTGCGCTTCCCCACGTGTTTCCAGAGAAGACAGCCTGGAGGAGAGGAAGTGGTGTTAATTAAATCCTCCCTCTGTTTTCCAGGCACAAGAGCCTTTCACAGATGTCTGTTGTTAGGCGTGTGTTCACAAAGTGCTCAAATACAGAAGCAGGCTTTCCTTCCCCAGTGACACAAACCTTCCTTCACAGGTTAGAGGGAACTTTAGAAATACATTTCCTTCCAACACTCGCTGTAATAGAGGTGGCAGACCTGCGCAAATAGAGCATGTAGCTGCCAGGGAAGCCAATGAGCCTCACCAATCTCTCTCTCTCCTACACATGCACACACACACACACACACACACACACACACACACACACACATACACTAAATTTCTCCTGTTTCTCCATGCTTTGTATTCTCCCTAGCCAATCTCTGCTTTTTGTGCCCTTTCCTTAAAAAAATTACCTGGGAAGTCCTTTCTCTTATAAGACAGTATGACATTGTATTAGAGATGCTGGGCTTGAAGCAAGGCTGGGAGTCCTGGTTTGGGGTCCAGGTGCTATCCAACTTCTGATTTGGGAAGGGTGTGTTATTAGTATTAATGTGCTTTTAGAATTTCAGTACATAGAGTCTATTTATGCAGGGCAGAAGGACATTGTCCCATGGGTAGGATCCATTCATTTCGAAACCCTCAGGAAGTTGGGGATGGAGTCGCTGGGAGAGCCAGATGAGTGGAAATATAATGCAAATGGCAGAAGGCTTTCCATTTGAGCTCCCCTAGTCAGCTGTGTTTTCCTGCATCATGGCACACCTCCCCCCTCGTGACAGTGTATATATTCACGTTTGCATGAGATGATCCATTTACCTCAACCGTCTCATCATCCTGGTTTAGGTAGTAAATTGGATGATCTTATTATTTTCCCACTCTTGAATATTCTAGTTAATTCCAATTTAAACAATTGGGAAATTTCTAGTGATGAGGGCTTTTTCTTACTTTTGATGTTACTCAAGAACTGAAAAAATGGAATCAAAGCCACTTTTGTTTGATTAGGAACACACTGGCAGCTCTAAAAATAAGATGGAATTTCCAGTGGCATGGTGGAGTGGCCCGGACTCCTCCTCTCTGTAGTGTTGGGAGCAAGCTCATTAGAGGGGTGACTGACTACTTACCTCAACTTGAAAACGGCAGCCTGGGCGAGCCGGTGGCATGGTGGTTCAGGTGGCTGGATCCCATGGTTCAAGTCCTGATTTGGCAGATTGAAAAACATGCCAGGGGTGTGTACCCAAAATTCTGAAAGGAGAATTTCTGTTTGTAATGTGAGCATCCCCCATGTTGGGGGGTGCCTTCTTACTTTCTCTCTCTTTCCAGGGAGTACATAGGCCATCTAGCAAATGAAAGGAAGAAAAAAGAAAGAAGAAAGAAAGAAAACAAAATGGCAGCCTGATTTAGGTGTCCATGTACATTTCACTAGGCCAGCATGCACTTTCTCTTTTGTTTTGCTTTTTTTGCTTTATACTTACAAAATAGAAAGCATTTTTAAAAATTTATTTAAAGTCATGATCATTGCTAACATCCAGAGATGAGAAAACATACAATAGGAATCACCTGTAATACTGTCGTCTAGAGATAATTGTTAATAATTTCTTTACTTCTTTTGAGATGTTTTCTAACCTGTCATCCCATACATGTATACACGTGTGCAAGCATTTTTATCATTCTGCCTTCCTTTTTCTTCCCTCTTTCCATCCTTTCTTTTTTATTCCCTTTCTTTCTACTTTCCTTTTTTTCTGAATTGTTTTTAGCAAACTTGAATGGCATTATTTGTAATATTTTATGACTTACATTTTTCCATTAATAATACATTTGGGGCACATTTCCATGACATACATATTTTTATTGACTACCTTGCATTTCAATGTTCTTCTCTTACACATAAAGTTGTATATGTTTCTATTAGACCCTATGCTGTGATAAACAATTGTCTCTCTCTCCCTCGGTATCTTTGGACACTGGTCTAAATTACTATCTTAGGCTAGATTTATAGCATTGAATTTTTTTATGTAGAAATCTGCTCAGGTCTAAGTGCTCTTTTGTCCTATTACAATCCGAGAAGCACACGTGAAAGTACAATACCCTTGCTTTTAACTTTTAAATAACCTTGCAATCTGGAAAGTTTTCCAATAAAATGCTGTGAAATTTTGGAGAACAATTGTTTAATAATTATTTAATGCTACTTTTCCCTTGTTCAGCTTCTGGGTTTAAAGATAAGAAAATGAAACTATAATAATTTTGGATTCCTTTTCTCTGAAAGATGAGCTGACGATCATGGGTGGTGGCTAGGAATCTGTGTTATTGAGTGGCAGTCTTCAGTACTTCTGTTTAGTTAATTCATGGAATGTTTGTCCATTTCAGGAATGTCATTTTCATTCCAGCCTCTTTTGTCATAGCCAGGGCATGGGTGACTTATTTTCAAAATGAGAATATTGTTTCTTCCCTTGTTTTAGGCTAAAGAAATGTCAACAATTGGGAGTTTTGAAGGATTTCAGCCTGTGTCCCTAAAGCAAGAGGGAGATGACCAGCCCTCCGAAACTGATCATCTGTCTATGGAGGAGGAGGGCCCAGGCAAGGATCCAGTGCCAAAGCAGATCTCACGGCAGCCAAGTGTGACCGAATCCACGCTTTACCCCAACCCTTTCCACCAGCCTTACGTTTCACGGAAGTACTTCGTAACACGGGTAAAATTGCTGGGTTTTGGAATACTTCATAAAACTTATTATGAAAAGCTTAATATCCTTCTCTGTCCTACATGCTATAGACATGCACAAATTTTGTCACATTTGTTATTCCCTGTAATAGTCACAGTAATCATAAAATACGTATCCTTATCTTCATTTCAAAGATAAAGGATCTAAACTCCAGAGAACTTTAGAAGGTCTAATGTTATCATACAATATTATTTTTATTGTATTTAACATTGCATTATTATAAAGAGCCGTGTGTGTATACATACATGTCTGTGTGTGTGTGTGTGTGTGTGTGTGTGTATAAAATGTCTTTGGCCATTTTTCTAAGCTATTTGTTTAGAAAAAATTTAGAGCTGAAATTTGTATTTTAAAATATGCTCAGTTCAAAGTGCCAGTGCCTTATTAAGCAGGTAGCATAAATAAAAACAAAAACGCAGGAGTTCCAGCCTGCCAAGTTTCCAGTTTCTCACTCCTGTGTTCATGCTAAATCTGGCCACAAGAAACTAATATTCTGTGGAGAGAGAACTATAGCACTTAGAATAGAAAACTATGAACCCATTGTGGGTATTTGGTGTTTATTTGGAAGAGACGTAGCTTGTGGAGTGAAAGGATTGCTGAGAATGGGCTGATTCTCCAAGGTCACTGATGCTGGTACCACCAGGTGGAAGCCATACTTTGTAATCTTAAACCTTTAACAAGAATTGAGCTTCCCTGTCTGCAATGGAGCTGGGCCAGTCGATACACGAGGGAGTAATGAGGATGGGGTCTGTATATCTAGATGTTAGAAAACGTACAGTTCTAGCACTTGGATCAAGTGGAGAGTGCCCCATGGGTTTCTAGTACTTTTACTTCTTTTTTGTTTGTTTATAAATTTTAGCCACAGGGCTAAAATTAGTGTGCTCACTAAAGAGGAGAGAGATACAGAGATACAGAGAGGGAAAGTGAGAAATTGCACCTCAGGGGGCATGACCACAGCACAATCCCTTCTCCTCCCTTCTCTTCTTGGAATTTTGGACACACATGCATATGTGCCTGGGGTAATTTCCAAGCCTCCGGATCTGAGACTGGCACCGTGGTCAACCATGAAGGAATTCAATGGCTTAACCACCATGCCCTCTGCTGACCCCAGTACCTTTAATTCTTGAGCTTTTTTTCCTGCTTAAAGAACCGTTTTCTCGGGAACCAGCAGTTAGCGTAATGGCTATGTCACTGGATTCCCACGTAGTTGACCACGGTTCGTGTCCCGGACCCGGTGGCTTAAAACTCACGCCGGGCGCATGTGCGTGCGTGCCCAAGATCCCGAGAGGAGAATGGAGGAGAAGGGATTGCGGCGTGACCATCCCCCCTGGGGGGTGATTTCTCGCTTTCTGTCTCTATGTCTCTCTCTGTCTGTCTGGCGAGCGCACGCGCCCTACAGTGAAAATCTCTCTCAAAAAAAAAAAAAAAAAAAAGAACCGTTTTCTCTGTCCTTTCACATTCTTATCATCATAGCAGTGGTGAGCTCACAGGCAACGACAAACTGGGGCAAAGTGGGTAGTAGGCGTCGTGCCAACAGAGGCCATTTCATTTCCATGTGTACACAGGGCATCTCTTCATTGCAAAAAAAAAAATTCAACCCAGTCTTATAAATAAATAAATAAGGGCCAACACTTTGTGATTACTTACAAAGCTTTAAGTAGGAAATTTTGATTTGGTAACTTTAAAATATATTTTTGGTGGGACCAGCAGATGGGATAATGGTTACATTGCTGGACTCGCATGTGGTCAACTGCAGTTATAGTCCTAGACCTGGTAGCTTAAAACTCACACCAGGCACATGTGTGAGTTTTAAGATCCCAAGCAAAGAATGGATTGTGGCATGGCCATCCTCCCCTGGGGGGCAAATTCTCACTTTCTATCTCTCTGGTGAGTGCGCATGCCCTGTAACGAAAATCTCTCTTAAAAAAAAAAATATATATATACATATATACACACACACACACACATATATATACACATATACATATATAATAAAATAAATATATAGAAAATAAATATGTACATTTTTTGGTTAAGATAAAGTTTTAAGTAAAGCAACTCAATGTATGTATGTGTGTGTGTGTGTGAGAGAGAGCGTCTGTGTTCAAACATTACCCACATTCTCACATACAAGGTGCCTCAGTAGATGCTACCCCATGTGTGTGCTTCTGTGAATGTTTTGGCATATGTAGAGCATATGGTTTATTTTTGGAAGTATGTGAACTTTATCAGATATACAAAATTATAAGATGTAGCTGCAAAGGAAATCAAATCATTCCCTGGAGTTTTATTGTCATTGGTACTGATAAAGTCAGGGTTGGATGAGAGAAAACACCACGTGATACAGAGTAAGGGGGTTATCACTGTGAGCTGGTGTCATGGTAGAATGGGCAGAGGCGTCTATGCAAAGCTGCTGTGTGTGCAGCTGGTGATGGATCTGACCCCGGGAAGATGGAACAGGGAATAGCGAATAAGGAACAACTGCCTGACAAGCTGGAGTTCCTCTAGGCAAAGTGGAGCTTGTGAGAAAAGACTGGACCCTGTGACTATCACACCTACCCTCACCTTGATGATGTGAGTTAATTAAACAGGAGCTGGTTCCTTTCACCAACAAGTTGCATGCTTAGTCAATCCAGGAGCAGGATTGGCTTAGAGATGAGTCCGATTAACTATTGGGGATGCAGGCCCAGGTGCTGCTCCTTACTCCCGGCGAAGCTGGATGTCAGGGCCCATGGACAGGACCTGTTACGGTGCGCGAGGACCAGATCGTTAGCGAGGAAGATGACTGAGGTTCCACTGCCACCTTTTGAGTCTTGCACAAATGTCTCGTGGTTTGGGCTGATTCTCAAGGGTCACTGAGCCCACAAAATATAGGAAAGGCAAGTCTAGAAAATGTATTTCTAGCTTAGATATATCGACCCAGTCCCAAGCCATGACAGATACAATTATTTATATATTCATATGATATTTTTACTTTCGTTTGTGTCTCCATGTAACTTATACAGTAAGTTCACATCTTTAGTTGTTCGGTTCTCTGGAGGAACACTGTGAGGTAGGCAGAGGAGACTTCCTATCTTTGTTTTAAGGGTAAACATGCTGAAGTGTCAAAAAAAAAAAAAAAAAGAAATGACCTGTTCCAGTCACATATTAGTCGTGGAAAACCTACAGCTAAGTTCTGAATCTTCTATCTGCAAGCTCAGTGCTTTTCCTGCAATGCACAATGAAATTTATTGCTCCTTTAAAAGGGTTTCCAGTAGGTGGCATGGTGGTTAAGTCACTGGGTTCTCACATGGCCCAGCACAGTTCGAATCCCAGACCAGGTGACTTGAAAATCCTGCCAGACATATGTGCGGGCATACCCAATATCTCAAGAGGAAAATGAAGGAGAAATAATTGTGACATAGCCATCTCCCCAAGGGGAGGGATTTCTCACTTTCCCTCTCTGCCTCTCTCTGGTGAGCACAAGTACTCTATAGCAAAAAGTCTTAAAAAAGAAGGAAAAAAAGGTTTTTAGTAGCTGACACTAATGAATATGAAAAATATCCTGGACCTGGTCACTTAAAACTCACTCTGGGCACGTGTGCATGTGTACCCAAAATCCCTAGAGGAGAATGGAAGAGAAGGGATTTTCAGTGTGGCTGTCCTGCCTGGGATGTGATTTCTTGCTTTCTGTCTTTCTCTGTCTCTCTGGCAAGCACATACATCCTATAGTAAAAAAAAATCTCAATCTAAAAAGAAAAAGAAAAAAAAAATCCTTACGTTCTCAAGAGTTTGTGAGGGAAAGTCTTCTAATTTTATTAGTGAGTGTAAAGTAGATGTGGACACAATTCAGGAGTTGTGAAGACGAAGTTTCCAAGGCGTTCAGCATTGGCTCTTCTGGTGACTATGGGGCAATATGAAGAGCCCTTATTAACATATGGGTAATGAAAATGTGCATTAACGTGAGAAAAATAAAACACAACTCTTGGCTTAACTGGATTTATAATGATGAACTTCAAAAAAGAAGGAAGATCCAGTTTTATTAACTTGTAAATCGTAAATCTACTTATGCTATAGGGCGCGTGTGCTCGCCAGACAGACAGAGACAGAGAGAGAGAAAGTGAGAAATCACCCCCCAGGGGGGATGGCCATGCTGCAATCCCTTCTCCTCCACTCTCCTCTCGGGATCTTGGGCATGCACACACATGCACCTGGCATGAGTTTTAAGCCGCCAGGTCTAGGACTCGAACCGCAGTCAACTATGTGGGAGTCCAGCGACATGGCCATTACGTTAACTGCTGGTCCCTTATGCTGGTAGTTGGGAAAATGGAAAGGAATGCGTGTGTATGTGTGAATTCCCGCATGTGCAAAGTATGGGTAAAACACCAATTTAGTTTGAAGGCTTAAATAAGCTAACTGTTAAAGTTCTTGGTCGAGTGCATGACAGGGCTACATTTCGTAAATGACATCTTGGTATTATAAATGCTTTCTTTATTTTTCCCTTAATTTTACATTCACATTTCTGTAATTGTTATGGGACATTAGGATGCCTGTGACCTCCAGGAGGAAATACAAATGTAAACACAGGATCTTTACTAGTAAAGAAGCTAATTTATTTTCTCAAAGGATTAATGAAATAAGACTGAGGCCCTTAATGATTTAGAGCTATGAAAAAGTCACCATGAAATGCCACTTCTTAGAGTTGAAATGAGATTTCTAAATGTTACAGTTTAATGCTTCTTGATCTATACCAGGCAAACATACCAGATTCTCCATTACTAAACCGTCTCTCACAATATTGATGTCCTCTGTCCACAGAAGACATTTGGAGCTTCAAGGGGGTTTATCAATAGATAAGAGGTAACTTGTTATTTTAAGAGGTGACTAAGTTCTAGAAGGGGGAGCTGATTTGCCCAAAGTCACACTTGCCCAAGAGGCTATTAAGTGCAAAGACTAGGCCTAGAACAGAAGTTTCCCAAATCCCAATTCATGGT